TGTAGTAATCCTTATTCTAAGGAGTTCAAAAACCAGGCTTAGGGTACCGTCTAACCCCAGCCAGCAACTCAACCCTATACCCAAAGTAAAAAAAAAAGCAGGCTTATATTAGGGTACCGTCTAACCCCAACCAGCAACCCTATACCCAAAGTGGCAGCCCTCTGAGGTGCTGCCCTGCAGAGCTCGTCATCCGTCAGGCCTGGACGTGGGAGGGTGCTTGGTTGACGATGGGCTTTAGTCGTACATCCTGGAGAGTGGACAATAGCTGACTGGACAGGATTAAAATCAGTATTGACCCGAGACCCAGAGCCTCGAAGCTACACCTTCCAAGCCAGAAGTAGCTATGCTTAGCTAGGTTGCATGATTCTGGGTGCATGGCTTATGAAAGGATCAATCGTCAGGTTCAAATTCTAATCAATCATCAACATGACCATTACGTTCATGATTCTGAACTCTTTGGCTTGCTTCGTCCGAACACATGACACCCGGAACCAAAACCCTAAACTAAACCTTGGCATGACCTCACACGCCCGGCAAGGCTCGCACGCTGGACCAGCCCAGCATCTTCCACAAACGCGTGGGACAAACAAGTGTTGCTGCTGAGACTTTTGCTGCTGATGACTATGACGATGACGATGACGATGACGATGATGATGATGATGATGATGATGATATATTAAGATAATGCAGCCGATAGCTTCTGCATGCAACCGAACATGTCGCCGCAAAGACTTCCTCGTTACCGTTTCAGTCTCATTTACACTACCGTGCGGGGGTGGTGTGTGCTAGTCTTGGCACCATGCAAGAACCTTGGCCTCTGTCTCCGAATCCCTGCTGCAGTTGTGATGGTAGTACGCACTCCGTACTTTGCATCTCACACCTGAAACCCTGCTACATGCGGGATGGGTGCATGTCTGGTCTCGAGTCTCGACTGGCTTATGTTGACTACAGCCTGTCGCAAACTTGGCATGCATCACTGAGTGAGTCGATTTCGGTTTCCAAGGTTAGCTAGAGGCCCTCATTGCAAACCTCCACTCGCAATGAGCTCTCAGGGCGTCAGCGACGACAAAACCTCGCAGGACATCCGAAGAGCCCGTGTAGCTGAAATCTTTTCCGGAAGTGGAAACTTGTCCAAAGCCTTGTGTGACGTTGACTTGCCGGCTATCGAGTACGACCTCATCAAAAGCCCTGAGCACGACATGTACAACACCCTCAAGATGGAAAAGATCCGCGACACGGTCATGGGAGCTCCTAACATCCAGTACATTCACCTCGCCCCGCCGTGCAATACGTTCTCCCAAGCAAGGTGGCCGAAGATCAGGCTCGGTGGCACTCGCTAGTTCGGACTGCTTGCACTGACGAGGTAGGGCAGGCTACGCTATGTTGCAACACGCAAAACGTTCCCAAAACTAAACTGAACCAGAGAGGGAGAGAGCGAGAGAGAGACAGAACGAGAGAGTAACAAAAGATTGTCGGTTGCCCTGCGATGAGATCCAAGCAGTACCCCGCCGGTCTGCCCAATGTGACGCACAAGCAACGTCATCAGCTTCATGTGGCGAACAAAATTGTGCAGAACACTGTCGCGATTGCGGATGCCTTGATTACCGGCGGGAAAATGGTTTCAATCGAGAACCCTGCCTCGAGCTTGTTCCTTTACTTTGTTTAGCAGTGACAGCCACACACAAAATTAGATTGAACTTGTAGGCATCTAACCCAAAGATAGTACGGTTTGAATAATTGGGTTTAGGGTTTAGGGTTAATTCTGATTCTGAGACTGAGGCTTTTCCGCTTGCCCATGTTCGCAGACCTGATCACGAGGCATAACATGGTCAATGTCACGCTGGATTTCTGCAGGACAGGAAAGTCAACCTGATTTATTATATAATACCACATCTGACGTACCGAAGCCCGCAACGGAATTGACCCCAATCCTCATTTAACTGACACCAGAAAACCATAAACCCTGCTGGTTATAAAACCAAAACCGTTGGCCGTAAAGTTCGAATTCCGAACACTACGACTTCCCAAAGCCCCGCCTCCGACCTGAAACCCTAAACCCTAAATTCTCAATTATTCGATGCTACGCAGGTACGGTGCAACCTACAGGAAGCGCACAACTCTCTGGGTCTCGAACCACATGCTGGACTCGCTCGCGAAGAAGTGCAATCACCGCAAGCGTCACGATGCCTTGTCCGGATGGAAAGACAAGAAGAAGCCCAGGAAGCAGATTCCAACCCAGCTTGCCAAGCCCTATCCCCGTCAGCTCTGTCGCACATGGGCCAAGTGTGTCCAGACGGAACTGAATAAGTGAAGGACATTCAATGAGGTCCCAGGCCTGCTAGCAATTTACATTTAGTGGGACTTCGTTTGGCTGCAGCTTCTTGAGCCTTACGCTTACACGTGAAACCCTATAATACCCCAAAACCCCAAACCCGCAAACCCCTATACCCTAAACCTTAAAACCCCTGAACCCTAGAATCCCTAAACCCCTACCTAGCCCCCAAACCCCAAAACCCCAAATCTGAAAACCCTAAAACCTAAAGTTCTAACCCTTAAACCCTCAACCCCCAAACCCTAAACCTAAGGGCTGT